TTATTGAGAAATGGTAACAGATAACAGATCTTGAGAGGTATTAGTGCTCTGTAATTCATCTAATGAGTTTATAGAAAGCTCTGAGAACACAGATTTACACATTAGTCCAGTAAAACAAGTGAAAACTACTTGTATACTAGACTTTGCTTAACATGCTTAAAAATACACTACTCCTGCAGCACTGTTCGGTCATAGACATAAATTTATCTCAACAGCCGAAACAGACTTGAGAGAGATATATGACTTTCTGCTTGAGTGTTGCAGTGCTGCAGTGAAAGGGAGAAACAGATGAATTGTACAGGTCAGTAAGAAGAGTTTAAGATAGGAGGGGTGTCCGTGTAGTTCCCTACCTTTTATGTGAATGGGACGCTGGCCCACCTGCCCATGCTGCTCTCAGTTGTGACATAAGGTAAAGACAGACCAGAAAAAAAAAAAAAAAAGTAACAATCAGAATATATAGTTTTGATAGTTTCTCAGTGACTTTCAATGTATTACTCTCTCCTAGACTTGCAGCTCAAGCACAAAACAATAGTGTAAGCAACCCAGCTGGACACACATATAGCAATGTGAGTAACGCTCATGTTCAGAATAATCATTCTTTGCTGGCAACTGTCAAAATGAGAACTGTTTGGATTTACCCTGACTCCTGTCCAAATGCTATACAGCAGTCTTTTCTGTGGCCCCTCTCATACATCAGGGAACACGCTGCATCTGATGACCAGGCCAGCTTCCCTCTTTTGATACCACAGATGCTAATGTGAAAGCATATTTTCTTGGGTCCAGCACAATATCAGGGGAGTTTGCAGAAGGCAGTTGCTGTATTATTTGTGTCTAATCTGTTGCTGTGTGAAGCAAGCTGTGGTCTCCTGCTGCCATTATGTTACTCTGGTGTATTTCCTATCTCAAGATATTAAAACAAACAAGCAAACAAAACCAACAACCCACCAAAAAACGAAACACTTAAAAATCAAGTACGGTGTAGGACAAATAGCATATGCTGCAGACAAAACACCCATGGCAGAAGGAACAGAAAGAATATGAAGAGGCTTTGAGGTGATGTTATGAACTTGAATGCTATTCTGTGGTAGGCAGTATGAAATAGAAAAGATGAGAAACAGCCCCCAAACACATAAGTACATTCCCTGTTGTAAACTGCGAGTAACAGCAGATACCAGTTTTGTGAATACTGCAGTCTTTGAGTCTGTGTAATGTAACAAATTACACAGAAGTAAATCATACAAATGTGCTATAGATAACGCTAAAAGATGTTTTGAACATTTTGTGGAGAATGGAGATTAATTAGATTGATAACTGTTGACCTTGGAATTTACCTGTTGTAGTCTGAGAGTCTAAAGATAAGTCAGCAGTTATGTAAGTTAAGTCAAACCAGTTCTCATGGAACAATCTGTTTATGCACTGTTTTGCTTGATGTCCTTAGTTGGCAACTCTTTTAAGCCCAGTGCCTCTGAATCCAGTAAGCCTGCAGACTGGACATACTACATCATTAAATGGACCGTCACCAGCAGGTAATAAGTACTGCAGGCCACCCTAACTTTCATGGAGATACATTTTTTTTTTTTGTGTTAAAACTTAAGGGGTTTACATAATGGCTGTTAAAGACTAGGAGCAGCAACAAACATTGACAGAATCTCATATTGCTCATGGTTTCTCTTAGATTTGTCTGTCCATTTTGGCACTTAAAGCAACTAGAGACATAGGAGGGAATCTGCTACTTTCAGGAAGTTACAAAAAAGTAACATGCAGTAAGCATGCTTTTCATATACGTTTAAATCTGGATCTATCTGCCTGTCTTTATTCTTCAGCTGCATCAAAGAACAAGTCACAGTCACCTCAGTACTACGAGATAATGGAATTTGATCCCTTGGCTCCCACTGAGTAAGTAACTTTTAAAACAGTAACATACAGTTTTCTTAGGTGCCAAAGGCAAGGTGGCTTCTGAGATGTTCTTTTCTTCTGAGAGAGAAAAGAAACCATGCTATTTAGACTGAGTGAGCTGACCAGCTGGGTCACTAATGTAAATGAGAGTGCCTGCATTTTGTACCTTTTCTTCCAATATTTCTGGCATAGCCAGCTAAGGAATCAGCTCCTACAGTGTGTTCATTGAATGGCATCTGTACAAATGGTGGAGTAATGCTGTCAAAAATGATCGACTAGAATGCTATTCAGGGTTACTAAAAGGTGAATAAAACATGGTGAGGGTCCTGGTGGAGGAAGCTGATTGATACTTCAACGTAGGTTGTTCTGGAGCAAGGTAACCACAGTAGTTCCAGTTCACAGCAATCGTGATTTTTAAGAATGTTGTTCTACTACATATCTAAATAGAAGCTACAAGAGGGAATGGATGCTGGGACCCTCCAGAGGGCCAAATAGTCAGAAAACTAACACGAAACTAAACAGATGGGAGAACTCTCCTACGAGTAAATTGCAAAAAAATTGAGCCATCTACACGAAACTTATTTCTGAGGAACCATCAAATTCTGAGGTAGAAAAATCTCAACCAAGCTTTATTTTTTTTTTTTTCCCCACTAGTGCAGTAATTCCTTGCCACGTGGTATGCTTGCCATTTGTGTTTTGGAGTCCTGTTCCCAAACTTACTTCATGAAAAGTGACAATGTCCAGAGGTATCTCATTAAATTTATAATCACAGACACACCACAGGATTGGCTCCTTGTTTCCATGGAAACCTGCGCGTCCTGCAACTGCTGCTACTCTGTTAGGCAAACACTGTAAACTCTTGCAGTTCATGCTTGGGCAGGCTTTCATTGGTGCATTTTGTCAAAATGAAACAACTGTGACATTGGAGTTGCCATGTTCCTCTCTTTTTCAGACCTGTTTATGAAGAAATTGATGTCGTGCTGAAGACAGAAGTTAAAAAGAATACAGAATGCTGAAGGTGGAGGTGAAATCTTTTACTGAACACAAGTTATTCTCTGATGTTGGTCCTGTGCAGTGCTTCCTCTAATGTACAAGTGAATTGCAGAAGAGGTTTTGTATTTTGACACAACAAACAATAAGTATCGGGATACTAAGCTGTGTGGAAGTTGAAGAGTGACTTGATAATTTGTCTTAAGTGTACAACTGTGTATTCTTCAAGGTGACCTGCATGATTATTTTTAAAGTATTTTTGGGGGCCTTTAAAATATGATTTCCAAATTCACCTGTGTATGAAGTTAACGCTTCACACCTGACACAAGTAAAAAAAAAAAAAAAGACTCTTGCAACTATGGAAGAAGGCTTTTCTTCCAAGTTAACTGTTCTTTTGTATTGCTTTACCCCTTTATGCAGCAAACAAAACAGAACATTATGTTTACAGAAACTGCAGAATCCAATTTCTATTTTGGCCTCATTGCTGTCTGTGTTAATCTCCCTAGAAATTCATGAGGGGGGGTTGATATGCAAGACTTTTTTCTAAAAATTGGCCTCTGGATATATTTCTGAAGACATGCACTGTTACTTTCCTACATTCATATTCTGAATACAGATTTTGTTTTCTTCCTTAAAATCCCGCAATATAGTTGGATTCTTGTCTTGGTGAGAACCTGAGCTGGGACATGAGGTGCTGTCATCCATGCTTAACAGAACAGAAAAAGCCCCGCTTGTTCCTATGTTGTTGTTGCTGGTTTTATTTACTCAGTAAATATTGGAGGGGGATCAATCATTTCTTTCAGTGTTCCTGCCCTGCAGAGATTGCTGTTCTGGTGAAGGAAAAAAATAATCATCTACAATGCAGATGAGCAATAGTTATCCATTTATTTTAAGCAAGTTGTTTAACCCTGTTAATAACAGTTTTATCTTTTAATAATTAAAGTGCCTTATCTATTTTAATGCTGAATGTAAAATGTGCACTTTAACAGGTATAGTTCTCTGAATTTATAACTGATATAAAATTTGAGAACTTAGTTCACGTTCATAGCTGATAAGCTATTTTTTTTGTGAAATACTGCATTTTAAATATTCATTATATTAACTGTTTAAGTGGTAAGATGCTCTCAGTCTGTTATGCAATTTTTGTAGCATAAAATTCCAAATAAAAGCACTTACTGAGAAGTTAATCCCCTTCACTCCTGAGTTTTTACCAGATGACATGTGTGTTCCATGAAATCCCATGTGCAGGTAGTATTGCAAGTATTTGAGAGTGATTCCATGGCGCTTCATTGCATGGTTAGCAATCTTGCAGCTCGCTGTAGGGCCACTAGAACACCTTACTGCTATCAAAAAGACAACATTGAAGTTTGGGGGGTTTTGTAAGCAGAGGTGAAAAGGGTAAGCTGCTTTATTATTACTCTTCTTACATTATTTGCAATGGTCTGGACAGCAGCCTGAGAAAATTGCTGAAAACAGGATTTGAGGTGGATTGATTTTTCCCTACAGCTTAGCTGTATTGTTAAAACCCTTGCACACTGAAGTGTAACAAATTAAAATAGGCTGTTTCAATATGGTAATCCATAATGGATGGTTGCTGACTGAACTTCTCCATATTTATAAAAGCAAAATGGTCACAGGTAGATGAAAGCTCCAAAGGGAACTGGCAAGTTACTGAGGTTAGAGAGTTTGCTTTGTGGTTGCAATGTGCTCAGCATCTGTGCAAACTTGAGCTTTCAAACTTGGGGGGAAAACCCACATTTTTTTTCCAACGGGCACTTGCTAGGGAGATAGTATTTTTCTTCTGAAGTGTGTGGCCAGAATAAAGCAATGTGTGGAAAACTCCCTTCATCAGTTTATCTTTCAAAAAGACAATGGACTAAAGACAACCCAGGTAAGAATTTTTTTTTTCTAGCCTGGATTCAAAGATTTGTCTTTTTTTTTGTTGTTGAAGTGTAACTGGAATTACAGATTATAAAGCTTGCTGCTATCTTCATACAGATGTATTTCACTTGTGTGGGCTCCACATGTTCTGCTGGATAAAAAATGCATTGGAGAGATGAAAGAATGAAAGGTTTTAAAACTTTAATAAATACACAATGAAGACCTGACAGGAATGTCATCCAGAATCTATTTAAACAACAAATGTAATTGGTACAACAATGCATTTTAAGGTAACATGCATTTATTTTCAAAAAAGCACTTTTTAAATTATGATATGCAAACATAATTGAGACTAAACTGGAAGTTATTTCTGACATACCCATTACCTTTTTAGAGTCCAAACAAACCAATAACAGTCTTACTTTGTTAGATCTCATCTGTTGAAAGGGGTAGAAAGAACTGGCCTAGCACGAGATGCTGGCCTGAGATTAATCCCTATCTGAAAAGGAGTAGGTCACCTAAACTTGCTCTGCAACTCACTCCTCATTTGCAAAGCTATGATAAAGTGTCATTATGCCTACCCTACAGATAATGACCAAAAGTTACGTAAATACAGGCTTCTGATGGTAAACAGAGCACCTAGGAGGACCTCTGAACAAGTGACACGCTTCTGGGCAGGCTTTGATGGACTTAACCTCTGAATGGGCTTGGGTTCCTTTTGGTTTTTGAGGAGAATCCTGTGCTACTCATTTAGCCTGCAGTTCAGAGCAGTTGTTTATGCACTGCCTTTCCCCTCAACGCATTTCATACCTAAGCCAAGCTTGTCTCTGTGTAGAGGTGCCTGGTGCGCAGCCCCATGAGGAGTGAGAACGCAGTCATTAGCAGTACAGATATTTTAAGTGAGTTGAACAAAACATTGAAATGTGAAGATGGTATTTCTAAATGGAAACCGTACCAGATTTGACATGCTTTCATTTAAATTACTGTTCCTCATTAAATGGTAACAGTTTGAGAGCAGTCTGCTCTTACCAGATGAACTACTGATTCAGTAATAACTTGAGAGGGTGCATCATCTTCTGAATCATCGTATCCTCCCATGCCATGGGAGGGTTACATAGCAATACAGTCTAACTTTGGTTAGTTCTGAGATTCCATGAACTGATTACCTGGTTTTACCTTTTTATACAGTAACTTACATGGAAGTTACTCTTCAGAGCCAGCAATGCAATTTTAGCTGCTTCATTAACTGATTTGCTCCTCTGTATTTAAATAAAGATCTCAATTTACACTTGGGTTTAAAAATGTGCCTCACAGTATTCAGGTAACATGTATCATATAAAAAGATGGCTTGAGAAAACCCTCTCTCTTTCAACTCACTCAACAGTGTGTTCCCTTCTATTGTCTGATGAAGAAATACTATCCCTAAGAAATAATATTCCAACTACGTAAGATTTTTTTAAAAAAATAGAAATACATCCTTTCCTAACAGCAGCATGTGCCCACGGTGGTTTTACAATATAATTTCATATTGCACAGTCCTCCTACAGTTTTTCCTTCTGCTGAAAAAATGGTTTCAGAACTGGTGGTTGGAGAGCAGAAGTCAAGTTGTGTAGACATTGCCCATTACTGATATCCAGGAAGTGGTAACTTCTGTCCTTCCTTTGCTTCAAAAAAGGTGTAAGAGAGGGTGATCAAATCAACTTTAGCCATTTTAGGGTCCTCTGCAAATTCCGGATCAATGTAGAAAAAGACGGGCATGTCCACTTCCTCTTGAGGATTTAGGCGCTGTTCTTCAAAGCAAAAACACTGCACGGGGAGGAAAAAAAACAGTTAGACAATTAATAGCTAGGGTAAACTTTATCTATGCCAAAATGAGAGAAAGCATCATCTTCTAAGATAACTCTCATTTCTTGTACATCCCTAAAATCCTGGGGAGGATCAACCATATGAGCAACAAGACAGCAGTTCTGTTCCTCTTGTGTTACAGGAAAAAAAGATTAGCTTTCAGTGAAGTGTCCAAGCGTGCCAATGGGCCAGGCTAGCTCACATCGTTGCCACCCGCCCGCTGAGTCAGTGGTACTGAATACCACCTACTCGGGAGCCACTCGAAGGGGACGTGTACTGCAGCTTCTTGTGAAGACAGTAAGGCCAAGAACGAACTCGCGCACTGCCACTGGAAAAAATCAAGGTATTTTTTTAAAGTGTTGGCATACGAAGAATGGTATCCAGAATCGAAATTAGAAAAGTTAATTTACGGATAATGACTCTCATTCATGCAAATGAAAATGTAACCTTTGCTTTGTTGACACTTACTTGTATTTTATTGAAATACTGTCCTGCTTCAAAGGGTATTACGTTGTAGGTAGAGATTCCAATTACTGGTTTGTCAGTAGGATTTTTCGCTTTATAAAATGCCAGTGCGGTCTCTCCTGGTACCACCTGTATAAAGTAATTGCACAGTGATTTTTAATCCACTGCAGCCCTCCACCCCTCAGATTTCTTTGGACTTTAGCTAGAAGTAGTTCTAGCTAATTAGTTAGAATTAGCTTAGAATTAATCTAGAATTGGCTTCTCTCTTGCTGTTTCAAGTTTCTACTTCGCTACTTCAGAAATACTTGGCTTACAGACCGTTCACCCCCATTCAAAATTTAAAGCACCAATAATGTTACATGTGTACATGTTTAATCTTACCCAGTTTGCCAGTGAGAATTGTATTATTCTCAGCAGTTTAGCAGCATACAGAGCTTTTTTTTTTTTGATATACAGATTTATATATGGTGTACATTTCATTTTTGAGGTTATAATTCAGTCCTGGACTCAGAAACCAATTCAGAAGCATGAGTCCTTTGGAGTTTTTAGTAAGACCTAATTTTAAACAGTAAAGTTGGATTTAAATGTTCATTTTTTTTAAACAGTTCTACAAGGATAGAGGCAAGAAAGTAGTAGGGGGAAAGTCTGGCAAACCCCCACAGATTTAGATAGGCAGCTACACCATATATATTTTTTAATACATATACACACACCCTTTGTGGTGCATATAAAATTCTTAACGGGAAGTACTGCGGAAGTGGCCGGGATTACATGCTCCCAGCAGAGCCAGGGCCCAGATGTGCAGGGACCGGCAGGATCAGGATGCAAGGTGGATGCAAGGTG